GTACCTTCATGAGTGACTTGAAGTTTGTCCCATATTTCTTTGGCGGTTGTACAAGATGAAACTCTTCCGTATTCATCTGGTTCAAGAGCACAAAATATGATATGAATGGCTTTGGAGTTGAGCTGGAACATTTTTGTCTCTCTTTCACTCCATAATCTTGGATGAGTGAGAGGCTTAAAGTATCATTCTTCTACTACATTCCATGCTCCCATGTCACTTGCTTGAATGAAGTACCTCATCCTATTTTTCCAATAGGCATAATTAGCCCCATTGAAGAAAGGAGGCTTGTTGACGGGCATTGAATCAAGACCGGAGTCGAAGTTTGAAGTAGAGGCCATTGATGACTTTGATTATCGATGTAACTCTTCCCGAATCGACTCAAGAGGTGATTAAACCTTCAAATGAGTTAGGCTTTGATGCCAATTGTTGAGTTAATCGATTGACGGAATTGGCCAAGAGGGGGGGTGAATTGGCAGTAAAAATTTTGGTGGAAGCTTTTGCAGAAAATTGAAAGAAATTGCACAACGATTTAGAGTGGTTCGACTTTCTCAACCAAAGTCTACGTCCACTACCTTAGCTATCCACACTAAGGATTTTCCACAAATTCACTAATTTGTCTTTCTTTTGAGGACAAAGAGTAACCTTACAAACCCTCAAGAATTATACCCCAAATTCTTGAGAACGCTCTATCCCAAAGAGAACAATACAAATTTGCAAACTTACAAGGAAATCCTCACAAGGTAGATTGTTTGCACAATTATAGAACAAAGAAAAGAACACTCAAGAATGAATACAATTGAGCACAATAAGTGTTCTTGAAAGCAAAATGAATATTGAATGAAAAATAAGCTTGAAATGCTCAAACTTGAGGTTTGATGCTTTCTCTTTGATTCTCTCTTGATTCTAATTGCTTGATGTTTCTTGTTATTGATCAATGGCTTCTAAGCTTGCTTAAATACACCTTGAATCACTTCTGAACGTTGGGGATCATTAATGAAGATAATATAGCCGTTTTAGTGTGAAATCAATTAATAAAATAGTTTGGAGCGTGGGGGGAATCGGTACCCCTTAGGGGGAATCGGTTCCCTAAGTGTAAAATTCAAATATTTCGACCGTTACACAGGGGGAATCGGTACCCCCTAGGGGGGGAATCGGTTCCCTCCGAGCATACTGGAATTCTCGGAGCCAAACCATTTAGGGGGGAATCGGTACCCCTTGGGGGGGAATCGGTTCCCTCTGAGCAATCTGGAATTTTTGGCTTTGAGATGGTTCGAAATATTTTGTAAAATCGTTTTGAAATTATTTTAAGATTAAAACTTAATTTTACACTTGAGTAATGATTAAAAATAGCATTTGAAAGATTTGGAGTAATATTTTGATATTCGAATAATTATATCGAATATACTTAGAATTTTTTTTTGGAAAATCTTAAAATTCATTTAACTTAATTTGTTATATCGAAATATCAAAATGTTTTCAACATATATTTTTCAAACGTTTTAAAAATTATATACTATATAGTTTTCAAAAAGTTCTTTTTTAAAAAAATTATATATTATATATATTTAAAATGTTTTAAAACTATAAATTATATACGTAGTTTCAAAAATAATTTGCAAACTATATAATATATATATATATATATATATATATATGTATATATAAAAAATGTGGACGAAAATTAGTGTCTATAATATATGTTATAGTTTTCATATGCAATACATATATAATTAATTATTAAAAATTGTGAGTTATTCTATCTAAATTCTCGGAAATTATAAAATATTTTATATTAAAATACATAATTATAACAATTTATGCAACGCTGATAGATCATTAGACTCTTATAATTTCTTAAACATTGATCTTTTTGTTATTTTATTTAAAAATATATTTATAATAATAATTATTCATATACAGATAGAATGATATTCTTCAATTTCTGCCAAATTCAATTTCAAAATCAGTTGGCAAAAGTATCAGAATCAATTGACTGAAAGAAAGGATGAAATGTCAGCGGTCCACAATGGTAAACTGGATTAGTTAAAGGTGATGGAAAATAAAATTCAACAGTAAAAATCTTTCTCAGATTTTGTCAAAATATATTTGCTTTTAATTTAGATAATTATTAAACATATAAATACTCATAAAATATACTTAATTTTAAAAATTTAGAACCGATTATTTAAGTTTAATTTCATTTAAAATAAAATAATAAAAACAATTCGTGATTTAGAAGAAAAAAATGAAAAATCGTATGGTCCAACTTTCGATAGATATTGGTTAATATTATACTTTAAAAAAAAGGGTACACTACACAGTTAGTCACTAATGCTTGGGTAAATTTTCATTTCCCCACTAGAGTTTCAAAAGTTACAAATAGGTCTCTAATGTTATCGATTGGTTACAAAACGGTCACTAGACGTTAACAGCCGTTAAAACGCGTGACGAAAAACACAACTGGCATGTTAACTGCTTACATGGATTGAGTTGAATGCCACGTTAGAGACTCAAAAGCCTAACAAATGGTCACTAATATTATCGATTTGTAACAAATTAGTCATTAATGTTATCGATTTATAACAAATTAGTCACTCGTCGTTCATAGCCGTTAGTTAACTCACGATAATCTTCTGACATGGCGGTTAGAAAAGCTAATTTGGTGCTTTTCTAGTAGTATTGGCCATATTTTGACCGGATCTTTGAGTCACTTTTAATAATTATTTTTAAAATAACCGTTTAATCACAGTTTCACTATTACCGTTGATCATCTCTTTCTCCTGCTCCCGTTCAAGTCTTTCCATTTTTTCTCGAGGGTCAGATCCACTTTGTGTGGTTGAGCACATGGATGATCTGCTTTCATTTGTTTCCTAAGTTCCTTAAAAGACCTAACAAAAGGCGACACCCATCATTCGAAGTTCACTATAACGTTTCGCACTCCATGCAAACAAAACATGTGGGGATGACCCTCGAGAGCTAGTTCCACACATTTAAGGATGACAACCCTATAATGGGATGAACAAAGAAAAAAAACAACATTGTGAGGGCACTCCATGCAAACAAAACATGTAGCGCTATCCTGATCTTTATTATCCAAGCAGGGATAGGTGGCTACACCGGCAACAAGCGACGAGGATAAGGAAGCGGGAGTCGCCTTTTGATAGGGCTTTTAAGGAACTTAGGAAACACATGAAAGCAGATCATCAATGTGTTAAACCACACAAAGTGATTCTGACCCTCAAGAAAAAAATGGAAAGGCTTGAAGGGAGCATGAGAAAGATCATATCAACGGTAATAACGAAACTGTGATTAAACGGTTATTTTAGAATTTTTTTTGTTGTTAAAAGTGAGTTAAAAATCCAGTCAAAATATAGCCAATACTATAGAAAAGCACCAAATTAGCTTTTTCTAACAGTCATGTTAGATTATCGTGAGTTAACTAAAAGCTATTAACGGCGAGCAACTAATTTGTTACAAATCGATACCATTATCGACTATTTTGTTACAAATCGATAACATTAGTGACCATTTGTTAGGCTTTTGGGTCTCCAACGTGGCAGTCAACCCAGTCAACTCAATCCATGTAAGCAGTTAACACGCCAGCTGTGTTTTCCGTCACACGTGTTAACGGCTGTTAACGTCGAGTGATCGGTTTGTAACCAATCGACAGCGTCAGTGACCAATTTGTAACTTTTGAAATTTCACTGGAGAAAACAAAAAATGACCCAAACATTAGTGACCAATTGTGTAGTTTACCCTTAAAAATGTAACTTACATGTTTTTTAATATAATCTATATAATATAGAATAATCTTTGAATCAATACTAGGGATGGGCATTTAAACCCGACCCGATCGGGTCGGATTTTTTAAAAAAAATTCAGGGTCGGGTCGGGTTTAGGGTGAAAAAATTTCGACTCGACCCGACCCGAAAAATATATATAATTTTACCCTATATTTTTAGAGATAATTACAATAATACTCCTCTATATATAATTTTTTTTCAATTAAGTCACTGTTTTTATTGAATAAAAATATTTTTTTATTATTTAGGGTTGGGTCGAGTTTCTATATCATATATTCGGGTCGAGTCGGGTGAAACCTTGTTTTGGTCGGGTCGAATCTCGAGTGGAGGTTCTCTTATTTTCGGGTCGGGTCGGGTGGACCAAAAACCCGACCTATGCCCATCCGTAATCAATACCTCCGTTAATTAAATCTTTAAAGAAAAGTATTTTACATTAAATTCAATGTATTCATTTTTAAGAATCTTCCTTTTTCGTAAAATATATAAAATTATAATATATTATTAATTGGTAAGAAAATAAATTCAATGTAGAATAGTTGTTTATATTTATTTGGTCAAAAAAGCATATTCATATACCGAATAAATAAGAAAAATGAACAAGCATAGAGAAAAAGGAAAAAACTTGGAACTTTTTGACTTGAAAATCTAAATAAAAATAAGAGTAAAATATGTATTCAGTGATTCACATATTTTGTTCATCCAATTCTTTTTAAATTATACTTAATATTATGATTTAATAACTTACCATTTTAAAAAATAACAGTGATGATGGTATGTCGCCTTAAGATAATGTCACATTATCATTGAAAAAATAAAATATTTGTCAAATCATTAATTTTATTTATTTTTCTAACAACGAACGATTAAAATAGAATTAAAATATAACGTTAGAATGATTTTTAACAACGAGTGAACAAACGAAACCGAGGGAGTAGTTTGATTTTAATATTTTTCGCTCTATTTTCAAAGTTCTTCACGTGAACAGTGAAACCAGAAGTACTGAGCATGGAAACACAGAGAGAAAGTCAATGTTTTATGCATATAAATAGACATGCATCAATGTCTGGTCGAGACCAAGCTTTCCACTCCATTAAACTAAGTTCCTTTTTCAATCTGTTCTAAACCCATTTTCGGGCATTTCTTCGTCCCTCGTTTGTAGAACAACACTCTGCTGAGCAGTGAAAAGGAGAAGAAAAGATGAAGTTTGGGAAGGAATTTGCAGCTCAAATGGTGCCCGAATGGCAAGGAGCATACATGGGTTATGAGTACCTTAAAACCCTTTTAAAAGATATTCAAACTTTCAACCAAAGAACCGAACAACAATCCATCCCACATGGATTGAAACGAAGCCTTTCGATGTACCAAGCTTTCAGTGGCCTGTTGGTTCATAGACATGCTCAACAATCCATTGATTCACCGTCGTCTTCGTCGTTGTCGAACGTCGTCGAAGATCATCCCATTTTGGTTAGTTCCGTCAACCGGGACGGCTCATACAAGTACGAGACGACATTCCATATGCAAGGGGACAAAGGTGGAGAGTACGAGCTCGTGTACTTCAGAAGGCTGGACGATGAGTTCAATAAGGTGGTTAAGTTTTACAAGTCCAAAGTGGCAGAGGTGAAGCAGGAGGCTGAGGCCTTAAACAAGCAAATGGATGCTTTTATTGCCTTTAGAATCAAAGTGGAGAATCCTCAAGGATGGTCGTGGCAAGACCGGTCCGACGTCACCCCGTCGACCGCTGCTCTTGCGGCTTCGACACCGGCCGGTGCTAGAGCAAGCGGCAGTAAGTACAAGTGTAGCATTGAATATTTATACTAAAAATTATAGCTGGGAAACAGGGAAGGCAGAGTTTTTATGAATACCCTTCGATTGTTGATTTGCAGGAAGATCAGCTGAGCACATGGCAATCATCGAAAAAGGGCCGAGCGAGCACGATGATTCGGATGATGATAAGAAAGGTAGTGTAAAGCCGGATATCGAAGCGCAACCCATCGAAAAGCCAGTGATCGTTAACAAGTTCAAGCAACATAAACCGGCTCCGTTACAGATATTGGACCGTGTTAAAATGAATAACACACTCGAGACGCCTCGATCAACCATTAAAGTGTTCCTAAACGCCCCTAAACAGTCTGGTTTGAAGTTTAATGAAGAAAATTTCAAGATAGTTGAGAATAAACTTAAGCGAGCTTTTGTTGAATTCTACCAGAAACTTCTCCTCCTCAAAAGCTACAGCTTCTTAAATACATTGGCTTTCTCAAAAATCATGAAGAAATATGACAAGGTATACATACATACATACATACACGCATACATATGCATAATCATTTACATTTCAGTTCTTTATGATTACAGATCAGTTCAAGGAACGCTTCAAAGTCATACATGAACATGGTGGATAGTTCTTATCTAGGTACATCCGATGAGGTTACAAAACTTATGGAAAGAGTTGAGGCCACATTCATCAAACATTTTGCAAATTCAAACCGCAGCAAAGGAATGAATATTTTAAGACCCAAAACTAGGAAACAGAGACATACAACAACTTTTTATACAGGTACAGCTTTGAAATTCTTGCTTGTATATAGGAAAATTACCAAAGCAATGTCGTTTCAATAGATATAACTCTGCAATTCTTGGATTTTTGTCAGGTTTCTTCGCTGGATGCGCATTTGCTCTGGTATTAGCACTTATTTTGATCATTAGAGCTCGGAATATCTTGAATCACGACGGGACCGACCAGTATATGGAAACCATGTTTCCTCTTTACAGGTAACAAATTAATCGTTGCGGCTTAAATTCCAGTCTTTATATATAAACCAGTTGGTTCTTGAGACGTTTTTGGCAAATGATTTTGCAGTTCATTTGGATTAATTGTTCTGCATACGGTTATGTATGCTGGGAATGTGTACTTTTGGAGACGGTATCGAGTGAATTATGCCTTCATATTTGGTTTCAAGCAAGGAAAAGAACTTGGGTACAGGGAAGTACTCCTAGCAAGCTTTGGTCTTGCAGTTATGGCACTTGCTGGTGTGCTCTCTAATCTTGATATGGAGATGGATCCCAAAACTAACGATTATAAAGCTTTCACCGAAATCGTCCCTTTGATCTTGGTGCTGGTAAATCCTATTCATTCATAACCATATATGTGTGTGTGTGTGTGTATGTATCATACAACTGATTTCTTGGTGTTTTCTTTGATCTGCAGGTAGTATTAGTCATACTGTTCTTGCCATTCAACATTCTGTATCGATCGAGTCGTTTCTTCTTCCTCACATGTTTGTTTCACATTATCTTAGCCCCTCTGTACAAGGTAAGCGTTCATTTTTCTTGAAGAATTCATGTTGGATGTACGTATTCGATGCATATACGGATCGGTTCGAGTAATTTAATCTGTAAATTACCTTGAAATTGCAGGTCAGCCTTCCGGATTTCTTCCTGGCAGACCAGTTAACTAGCCAGGTTCAAGCATTTAGGAGCCTTGAGTTCTACATTTGCTACTATGGCTGGGGAGATTTCAGGCACAGAGTAAACAGTTGCAAAAGCAACGACGTTTTCAACGCTTTCAGTTTCATCGTCGCCGTGATTCCTTTCTGGTCTCGTCTTCTTCAGTGCTTGCGTCGATTTTACGAGGAGAAAGATACCATGCAAGGCTACAATGCAGGCAAATATTTCATCACCACCGTGGCCCTCTGTTTAAGAACTGCCTACAGTCTTAACAAAGGATTAAGTTGGGAAATTTCGGCTCTAGTTTTCTCCGTGACGGCCGCCGCCGTCGGTACGTATTGGGACCTTGTCCACGATTGGGGGCTTCTTCAACGCCGTTCTAGGAACCGATGGTTGAGAGACAAACTCCTCGTACCGCGAAAAAGTGTCTATTTCGGCTCCATGGTAAGTCTAAAAACCAAGGATTTGAACTCCGGAACTTGATTTATCGTTAACGGGGTTCATCGATTCCAATCGCAGGTGCTGAATGTTGTGCTGAGATTTGCATGGCTGCAAACGGTGTTCAATTTCAAGTTATTCGATTTACATAAGCAAACCATGATCACCATCGTGGCCAGCCTCGAGATAATCCGGCGAGGGGTGTGGAATTTCTTCAGGTTAGAGAACGAGCATTTAAATAACGTCGGCAAGTATAGGGCATTCAAGTCGGTGCCATTGCCTTTCAACTATGATGAAGATGAAGTTAAAGATGAGTAGATAATTTATAATTCAATAAAGGATGTATACAAAAATGATAATTCAGGAAATATGTTGATAAGTAGTATAAGAATTATGGTGGAATTCTACAAAAAAAAAATGTATTGTTGTGAGTTTTGTTAATGACATAACAGATATATAAGAGAAGTTTTGTTTTATCGTAATTTCAACAAATATCAAGTAAAAGAATGAAGGGTTTCTCACTTCCGTTTCAGTTTTATAAACGAATGATCATTCAATTTAAAAAATATAATTCTTAGTCATTTTCGTTTTATTTTAATTAAGATTAAGATGTGATCATTGAAACGTTGACTTCCGTTAGTTTGATCATCCATTGGAGAAAAAAATGAAGAAGGGTTCAAACTTCTTCGTCTCTGATTGACAGTGATTTAAACTTCTTCGTTCGTTGACAGTGGCGTTCGGAGTATTAACCACTGATAAACGGTGGGCGGCGATGTGGGTTTAGTTCTACAAGGGTCACAGCGGTAGAGAAGAGGGAGGTGTGCCACGCGAGAAGATGAGGTTGAGGAAGAAAACATATAAAAAAGGGTAAATTATAACTTTGTCTCTAAATTACTTTGAATTTATAAAATGATCCCTAATTAGTATTTTATCTAAAGTTCAAAGGTTAAAGTCAAAATTAAACCCTTTTACTAATATGTCACGCCATCAAACTAACGGAAGTTAACGTTTCTGTGACCATACCTTAATTAAAATAAAACGAAAGTGGCTATAAATAATATTTTTTAAATCGAGTGACCATACGTTTATAAAACTGAAATAAAAGTTACAAACTCTGTAGTTTACCCAAGAATGAAATTATTAAATATCCGATGACGAAATTTCTACAAATATTTGACTTATGTTAGAACTAAAATTAAAAGAAAAAAAGTCAAAGATTAATTTTATCGAAGAAAAACATTAAATCAGAGTTAATTGCATTGTGTCCCCAAACTATGACCCTCATTTTAAATTACTCCTTAAATTTTTAAAAATTACAATTTCATCCTCAAATTGTGATTTTCATTATAATTAGTCCTTAAACTTTTGAACATTCTAATTTCATCCCCAAACTATGAGTCTCATTTTAAATTAGTCCTTAAACTTTTAGATCTTCCAATTTCATCCACAAATTCATCCAAATATATAATCCATTTCAACAATAGTTTAACTTGAATTTTTTTTCAAACATATAATAAATATAAGTTGGTCTAATGATTTTATTAACAAGAGATGTGATTAGTATATACGCATAAATTTGGATAAAATTAAAATATTCAAAAAGTTTGGGGATTAATTTAGAATGAAGATCATAGTTTGGGGATGAAAATAAAATGTTCAAAAGTTTGATGACTAATTTAGAATGATAGTCATAGTTTAAGGGTAAAATTGAAATATTTAAAATTGCAATGAACTCATAAAATTAAATGGGTGTTTACTGTTGCAAAAGCCCACCTCAAATACCTATAACCAAGCAATGGGCTGCTTATTAGCTTCCCTAATTTCCAATGGAGCCATATTATAATATTCAACAATTATCAGCAAAAGCTTATACAAATTAATTACATTATTACTAAATCATGATACACGAAAATAATAGGTAAAATATGAATAAAAAAATAATAAAATGGTTTTTTTAAATTAAAAAATTAAATTACTTAAATACTAATTTTAAATAATGATTATAATTAATGTTTAAAAAAATCTAAAAAATAGTAATTTTAAAATTAAATCAAATTCAAAAATGATTTGAATGTTTATACAATTTCCAAAAAAAATCTTCGTTTTATTTATTTTATTTGGAAAAAGAATTCATTTTTTTAATTTATATATATATATATATATATAGTTTGGATCTACTTATATTGTGTAAAACTCTTTTTGTTTCATACCTTTTCAGGATTGTTAGATTGAAGGAAATCAAAGGTTGAGATTAACTCATTGTTTCTTTTTCCAGTAAATATCTTGTCATTTTCTACTGTTAATCTCAACTTTTATTTTCGATCATCCGATGGTTTTGAGAATGTATAAATCTCTTATTTTTATACAGAGTAATTGGATCATGTCCATATATACATATAAAAACTAATAAGTAAAACTCATTCAAAGATAAAAAATAATAATTTAAAAACATGTTATTTTAACTAATCAAGAGAAGTAATACGTGTTATCATATTAACAAAATTAAATATTAATAATTAATTTTTTTATTGTATTCTTGTACATATATAATGTATGATTGTCTAGGGTTTATATGAATTTGAATTGGCAGCTCTCTTATAATAATAATAATTACTTGTAAATTAAGATTTCATAAATTTGTTTAATAAATGCATTGATTTTGACCAAAGGTATGTATTCGTGCCACCTAACGGGCTAATAAAAGAAACTTTGATAACGTCAGATCACCTAATAATTCAACACCAAAACTTTAAGAACCTAATTAATATGAGATGAAATTCAGCAATCTTCATCTTCCATTGCTTGTTGCTAAATTCATTATTATTATTATTATTATTATTATTATTATTATTATTATTTTGATTTAATCACTGGTATCTGATCTATTGACCGACTAATCCAGATCGGCTACTGTAGAGGCGAGGGTAACCCTCCTAACTCAGTTTGCTCCATTCACAAACGTCAGGATTCGAACTCCTGACCTTATTTAAGAGACCTAGTGCCTCATCCCACTAGACTAACCGATTGTTGGTGTTATTATTATTATTATTTTGACAATTTTGACCTCTTCAATTATAAAATAACTCATTATTAATGGGATCTCTCCTAACTTGGCAAAAGGAATAACCATGCTTACCGAAGGTAACCTGAAAAAGAAGTAAAAGAGTTAACTGCATCGTACGTCCTCAAACTATGCTTCTCATTTTAAATTGATCCTTAAACTATTAAATATCATAATTTCATCCTTAAACCACGACTATCATTCTATATTAGTCCTCAGACTTTTGAACATTTTAGTTTCATCCCCAAACTATATCCTTCATTCTAAATTGGTCCCCAAACATTCTCAATTTCTTCCCAAATTATATGTATATACTAATCACATTCCATGTTAATAATATAGTTATGTCAAGTCATATTATTATATGTTTGAAAAAAAAATAAAGTTTAATGTTAAAATTAATTACATGTTTGGACGAATTTAGGGATGGAATTGGAAGATTTAAAAGGTTAGGGTCCGATTTAGACTAAGGGTCATGGTTTGAGGATGGAACTGGAATGTTCAATAGTTTGAGGACTAATTCAGAATGAGTATCATAGTTTGAGCATGAAATTAGAAAATTCAAAAGTTTAGGTATCGATTTAAAACGAGGATCACAGTTTGGGGATACACGATGCAGTTAACTCGAAACAAAAAGAAAACTATTTTTGAGATTAATTTTAAAAGTGTTTAAACCTATATTTTTCAAAGTGTAATAACAAACTAAGAAATAATGACATAGAAATCAAAACCTAATTGAATGAATTTATGTAGTTATTTTTCAAACCGATATTCAATATGTTAAAATTCAAATTCTCATGTTCATAACCTTTTTTCCTCCGTTTGGTCGAATTTTGCATAATGTTAATGTATTATGCATTTTTAACATATTTAATATCTCATGAGGTCTAGTTTTTCATTAATTAAATTAATTTATTTGAATGTGATACTAAATGTGTGATCCATACAAATCTACGTATCACTTAACCTAATAGCATATATTATTTTGGGTAAACTACATACTTAGTCATGCAACCATTTTTGTGATTCCATTTTAGTCATTTAATTATTATTTTTGTAAAGATGTAGGTTAATGTTATATTTTGATTCCATTTTAATTATCCGTTGTTAAAAAAAATCTCAAATTAATATTTTTTTAATACTGATGTGAGGTTATCTTATATTAACACAATGATATTACTATTAATTTTTTTACGACGAATAACCAAAACATACTATTATATATATTTTTTTCAATTATTTTTGCACGTGCATGTTTTGGTAACAATAGTCCTTAAACAACGTCCACCCGCTCTTGAAAATTTTTACGTGAACAGTGAACCATATTTTCCACTCGGACTGGAAAGTTCTTTACGTGAACAGTGAAAGGGGAAACGGAGAGAAAAGGTCAATTTTTTTTACGCCTATAGATACACATTTCTTCCACCAGATAACCCCATTCTCATACATTTCTTGGACCTTCGTTTTGGCTTTTGAATGACACTGTTGAGCACTGAAAATTCCCAGGAAAAAATGAAGTTCGGGAAGGAATTTGCAGCTCAAATGGTGCCGGAATGGCAAGCGGCATACATGGATTACGATTATCTTAAGTCCCTTTTAAAAGAAATTCAAGCTTTCAAACAGAGAATCAAACAGCAGCAGCAACAACAACAAGTCCCACATGGAATGATCCGAAGCATGTCGATGTACAGAGCTTTCAGTGGGCTGTTACACAGGCAGCAATCCGACGGTTCGTCGTCCTCGTCGTCGGACGTTGAGGATCATCCGATTTTGGTGAATTTCGTTAACCGGAACGGCTCCGAGAAGTACGAAACGACGTTCCATATGCAAGGAGAGAAAGGCGGAGAGTACGAACTGGTGTACTTCAGAAGGCTGGACGATGAGTTCAATAAGGTGATCAAGTTTTACAAGTCCAAGGTGGCTGAGGTGAAGCAGGAGGCTGAGACCTTAAACAAGCAAATGGATGCTTTTATTGCCTTTAGAATCAAAGTGGAGAATCCTCTCGGGTGGTCGTGGCAAGACCGGTCCGACGACATGTCTCGTCTCGCCTCAGCTATCACCGCGTCGGCCACCGCGCTGGCCGCTTCGACTCCCGCTGGTTCTAGAGCGAGTGGCAGTAAGTACATGACAAGCATTGAATTTTATGCTTTAAATTTTTCATGAATACACTTTGATTGTTGATTTGCAGGAAGATCGGTTGAGCATATGGAGATCATCGAAGAAGGTCCGATCGTGAACGACGATTCGGATGAAGATAAGAAAGATAGTGTAAAGCCGGATATTGAAGCGCAAGCCATTGAAAAGCCAGTGATTCTTAAAAGGTTCAAGCAACATAAACCGGCTCCATTACAGATACTGGACCGTGTTAAAATGAATAACACACTGGAGACGCCTCGATCAACCATTAAAGTGTTTCTAAACGCCCCTCAATCGTCCGATTTGAAGTTTAACAGGGAGAATCTCAAGAGTATTGAGAACAAACTCAAGCGAGCTTTTGTTGAATTCTACCGGAAGCTTCTCCTCCTCAAAAGTTACAGCTTCTTAAATACATTGGCTTTCTCAAAAATCATGAAAAAATATGACAAGGTATACATACATATGCATGTATATATGCATCATTTATGTTGCAAATTGTTTAGATTTCTGGTTTTTGACAGTGTTTTGTTGTTTGATGATTGCAGATTAGTTCAAGGAATGCTTCAAAATCATACATGAACATGGTGGATAGTTCTTATCTAGGTAGCTCCGAAGAGGTCACAAAACTTATGGAAAGAGTCGAGGCTACGGTCATAAAACACTTTGCAAACTCGAACCGCAGAAAAGGAATGAATATTTTAAGGCCCAAAGCTAGGAAACAAAGACATACAACAACATTTTATACAGGTACAACTTTGAAATCCATACATATAGATAGAAAAATTACCAAAGAAATTTCGTGTCAATAGATGTAACTCTCTGCAATTCTTGAATATTTCTCAGGTTTCTTCGCTGGATGCGCATTTGCTCTGATATTAGCACTTATTTTGATCATTCGTGCTCGGCATTTCAATGACCAGTACGGAACGAACAAGTACATGGAAACCATGTTTCCTCTTTACAGGTACCGAATCCTGTCCCTGCAGTTCGAGTTGATTCGGTCTGTATGAACCATTTGTTTTGACATGTTTTTGGCAAACAATTTTGCAGTTTATTTGGATTCATTGTTCTACATACGGTTATGTACGCTGGGAATGTGTACTTTTGGAGACGGTATCGAGTAAATTATGCCTTCATATTTGGTTTCAAGCAAGGAACAGAGCTTCGGTACAGGGAAGTGTTGCTTGTAAGCTTTGGTCTTGCAGCAATGGCACTTGCTAGTGTGCTCTCTAATCTTCATTTGGAGATGGATCCCGAAACTAACGATTATAAAGCCTTCACCGAAATCGTCCCTTTGATCGTAGTGCTGGTAAGATCATTGAATTCATTCATAAATGATAACTATATATATATATATATCTGAATTCTTGGTTTCTTCTTCGATCTGCAGGTGATATTTGTCATATTGTTCCTCCCATTTAACATACTGTATCGATCGAGTCGATTCTTCTTCCTCACTTGTTTGTTTCACTGTATCTTAGCCCCTCTCTACAAGGTAAGGTATCATTTTTCTTGAAGAACTGGCGTCAGACATTCATGTCAGATAATTTTGATCTTTAAATTACCTTGAAATTGCAGGTCAGGCTTCCAGATTTCTTCCTGGCAGACCAGTTAACCAGCCAGGTTCAAGCATTTAGAAGCCTTGAGTTCTACATTTGCTACTATGGTTGGGGAGATTTCAGGCACAGAGAAAGCAGTTGCAAAAGCAACGATGTGTTCACCACTTTCAGCTTCATCGTCTCCGTCATTCCTTTCTGGTCTCGTCTTCTTCAGTGCTTGCGTCGTTTTTTCGAAGAGAAAGAAACTCCTCAGGTTTACAACGCCGTGAAATATTTCCTCACCATTGTAGCCCTTTGCATGAGAACTGCTTACAGTCTTAACAACGACGAGTTAAATTGGAAAATTTTGGCCCTCGTTTTCTCGGTGACGGCCGCCATTGTCGGTACTTATTGGGACCTTATCTACGACTGGGGACTCCTCCAACGCCATTCAAAGAACCGATGGTTGAGAGATAAACTCCTTATACCACGAAAAAGTGTCTACTTTTGTGCCATGGTAAGTCAAAAAATCAAGGTTTCGAACTCCGAAACTCGTTCATCACCTTCGTTCATCTGTTTTAACAAGGTTCATCCATCGGAACGCAGGTCCTGAATGTCGTGCTGAGATTTGCATGGCTGCAAACAGTGTTCAATTTCAAGCTACATGGTTTACATACGCAAAATATGATCACCATTGTCGCAAGCCTCGAGATTATCCGGCGAGGGGTGTGGAATTTCTTCAGGTAAACTGAGTGTGTTCTTTCCCTGTTAACTGAGAAACTCGAATCTTTATGATCGAATCAATGTCTCCAGGTTGGAGAACGAGCATTTGAATAACGTGGGCAATTATCGGGCATTCAAATCGGTTCCGTTGCCTTTCAACTACGATGAAGATGAAGAAGAAGATGAAGATAAAGATGAATAGGTAGTTTAGAATTCAATAAGATACATATACAAGAAAAACTAGTCCTAGATCTTTGATTAAGAGTGCGTTTGCCGATGCTTTTGCCTGTTAAAAATATTTTTATCGCCGGAAAAAGCAATGTCAAACACATTACTTATGACTTTAAAATTAGGGTGAAAATTTGTTTATCAACCTAATCTAAAAAGTCAATCTTTTATAATTTGTATGGTAAAAAAATCAATTTTTGATTGAAATTATATTTTTACTTTCCATTATTTAGTTATTGAATATACAATTATTTTATTTATAATTTATTTCAATTTTTTTATAAATTTATTATGATCATGTTAGTGTATTTTATATTTTAAAATATTACTATTGAGTTGCTATACTTTTATAATTTTATTATAATCTAAAATAATTTATATTATAATTTTATCGCATTACTTCCTTTATAACGTTTGATTCGCGAAACGTAAAATTATCCTTAGAAAAAAAATAAAATTTTAAAAATATAGCATTACGAGATACAATAGTGCAAATGTTATATACCTTATTTGATTTGTTTAATAAAAAAATAAAATTATAGTGTTTTATTTATATTTTAATAGTGCAAATGTTATATATCTTATTTGATTTATTTAATAAAAACATAAAGTTATAGTGTTTGATTTATATTTTGAATTTCTAACGGGCAAACTACTCTATATTCTTATTGGGTAAACAAGGAGCAGTGGAGATGGAGATGAAGACGACGGAGTGGCGCTGTTGCCGGAATCAATCAAACAATTGAATTTATGTTGTCGGAGAGATGCTGTCGATCACAGAACCCATACAACCTCTACGATCGTCGGGAGACATGCATTTCGTGCCGCCGGAATAGCAAAAACTAGAGCTCCTAAAGCAAGACTGGTCATTTACAAAGAGTAACGTATGAGGCGGCGACTACCCGGTGGCCTTCTCCATACTTGAATCCTAACCCTAAACGAATTATTATGAGAATCCAGAAGAAATACTCGGAAAAAGAGACCTTGGAGCTCAATTAAGTAAATTTTAGCCATGGAGCAGCAAACATGCCAGAAATCAACATATTGAACTGATATTCATATATAACTACTGTTTTTCGTGTAAGTGCAAATGCAATGGTCAATCCTATGATCATGAAACTTTAACTCAGTTGCAGCGAATAAATACATGAAACTCGATCATCTCTTCCTTGAAAGAAATATCCGGTAACTTCAAACGATAAACAAGAAATTTGCAATTCAAGTACACGAACTTGTAAGGTTAAGAGAAATAGAGTGCAACACAATCTTGTTATAATCCAACCAAATGAAACTTTCTAACCGATTTCATGATCGAATCAGCCGACAGCATCAAATGCACCCATTAACAAAGTCATCAAGCAAAATATATTGATAGATGATCATAAAGCTTAGGACAAAAGATTTCTACAAGAAAAAAAAATGGACAAGAGACATCCATACAAAGTTCTACTCATAAAACACAAAAAGCATCTTATTTTATCTCTGTAGTTCACCAACAGAAGTCACGACATACTTAACCAGATGAATGACCTTGTTCGCTGTTCTGTCCCCGATCTCCACTGCAACAAAAGAAGTGCGGCAACTTAACACGACCGCAGCTCCTGCAATAAAGCAACGGATGGTAATTACATGTATGCTGATTTTACCTATTGACAATTTATTTGTTTTGAAGGAAGGTCATCAAAGGCACATGAATATTATATTCCATCTCTTTGTTCAGCCCTTCAAAAGATTTACAGGGCTAAACCTTACATTATCATTTACTTATCGTACAGTATCGAACCTTGATATGCATATATACTGTAAACGTGATCCAAGGCTCTAATCAATGCTTTGCAATTCTTACTAAGGACAGCAAATTCAAGCTACGCCTGTAACATTTTTATAAATATGATGAATATTCCGGTTCGAATGTTGATATGTGTATATACCGTAAACCGGATTCAAGGCTCTAATCAGTGCTGTGCTATTCTTACTAGGGACAGCAAATTCAAGCTAAGACTTGACACTTTTAAAATATGATGAACATTCATTGCTATTCAACCATATGAACTATCAAGAAATTTCCAATAACAAACATAAAAAATAATCGACAAATTAAACATACTTACTTGCATCTAACAATAACCGGAACGGGTTTCAAAGCCTTGGGTCCATTTCTTATGCCTCTCTTATGGCGACTCACCTGCAAAAATATAGAAAAAAAATAAAACTTTTTTCTATTTGAACATCTTTGTATTCTAAGAACATATCTAGCAGAATTAATAAATAAAACTAGTATTGAAAAGCAATCTTTACTTTTCTCTTTGGGACAGCCATGAGCTCCATGGATCCTCCGAAGGGGAAACTTGAGAACCCGAACCCGAACCCGAAGGTGTTACTATTTCTGTCAGATAATCGATCGGACTCGGGTAAAACCAACTGCTGTGATGGTGCGGGATGAGTGAAGGAATCATCCAGAGATGGAGCGAGTGCTGAAGCATGAACCCATCTCCTCAATACCAAAACTGAATCGCATTCAGCGGCTGCGGAGCGCTTTAGCATCGCTAGTATCGACGCCATTTTTGGAAGGACGGCGGCGGTGACTGGTGCGCCAGCTCCGTCTAGGTATATAGTTTTTAAAAGAGACCGCAAGGGATTTTTTTCATCTAAACGGCGCCGTTTCTGGGTTAGGCAATCAGTTTTTGGGTTGAGCCGAAGAATGTCTTGCGTTTGGGCTTCATTTGAGGGGTTTTTTTATATAATTTTTTCGTTTTTCTTAAAAGAAATACATGAAATAAGGATATTATTTTTGAAGCAAATATTAATTTATTAATACACTTTTCTATTTCAAGTATTCAATTAAAATGAGTCAAAGTCAAGTTTTGCTCACCTCTAGTTCAACGTAGTGAAGATCAATAAGATATTATATAAGCGTTATCTTGATCAGTCGTTGTGATGTCAAATCAATCCTTAAAAAAATATAAATTAAAAAAGATCAAATAACTAAAAAAAAAATAAGAAAACGTGTCATAAAACAGATGCAAACGTGTAACACATGCATTTATTAAAATAAAAAAAGAAAATAAATATATATAGAAAAGAAAATTATAATAAAGAATATCAACGCATGTCCAGTAATGCCAGAGGTTCGTAATGCCAAAAAAAAAAAGAGAAAATAACCTCAGTGACCAAAAATCTCATATAATATACGATTTTAACCAACTTTTTCCGGATTTGCCAAAATGACCAACAAAATCGCAATGCGATCGCTAATTCGCAACGCGATCTCCATTATCGCAAATCAGTTTCCAGATTCGCAACGTGATTATGACTATCGCAATGCGATTTTACAATTTCGCGTTGCGATTTTCCCAATTCGCAATGCGAATAAGTAAATCGCAATGCGAATTTGGAAAATCGCAATGCGATACTGACTATCGCAACGCGATAATACAAAATCGCAACGCGATACTGACTTTCGCAACGCGATTCTGACTTTCGCAACGAAATTCTGAAAATCGCAATCATCTTCAAAATCCCAATCACAACCGGCTTCACCTTTTGGGACTGTTAACTTAGGTGATTTTTAAATGCAAACGTTGTATTATGTGTATTTTATGTGTGCACTTTTAACATTTTCAGTTAGGCATGTATTAGTAACTTGAGTTTGAACATTGCTATGATCTGTTCAGTTGTTATCACTTATTAGACATTCATTTGACTATCGCAACGGGGAAATCGCAACGCGCTCGTTACGATTTTTATTTCGCATTGCGATTCTCTCGTTGCGATAGTTAGTTTCGTGTTGCGATAGTCTGTTTTGCCTTCAACATAATGCAGATTGAAAATCAACAAATCAACTATTACATTTCAATCAATTAAACATGCACAAATAAGAATTATGTACACAACAATTAAGCAAATCAACATTTACAAATCATTTTTTACAAATCAATTAAACAATCAAAAAATAATAATAATTCTTATTTCCTCATCAATTATTGAATCAATTAATCAACTTTTGCACCCGTACATCCATTTCACGCAGCTCACTTAAGGATTAACCTGCAGAAACCAAACATTTGCTCAAACAAGACTTCCTACACATCTAAAACCTACAAACAGCAAATTATTGAATTCTAGGTACTTAACCAAACATTTTCAAACCAAAAGGAGTATATATATTAACAAAACTTGCATTTGACTTACCAATTAACAATGAATACTTTCATAACGCGGATGCAGGTAAGCAGCGTCTCGAATATATCACTCTAGCCATATAATGCCGAAACCACAAGCCTACTGCAGCTCTATCTCTATCGGTGTGAGGTAGAAATTATGTGCTTCCCGTCGTCAAACGCGCCAAGCACATGCATACGAGAGGACCACAATCCCCTCTGGCTCCCGGTGATTGTTGTGGCGCGGTCTCGTCTCTGACAACTGTGGCATTGAACTTCTTTGGCTTCTTGTGTCCAGAATGAGTCCAATAATTAATCCCATCCAAGAATTTAGCCAAATGAGAGCTCCATCCCTTGATAATATCTCTCAAATCAGACAGTGATATGTAATTTATCATACTGTCATATACTATTATCTTCAGGGATGGGAGTTGAAGTTGGAGGAGAAGCCAATAACGACGTTCCAAAACAGGGATAAACACCTGCAATCATAAGTAATAATTCATTTATTTGCGCACTTATTTATGAACACCTTTAAAAAATTTTAAAAATAAACACTAACCTTATCGACCTCCCACCATGCAGGATAAAGTTTAGCTTGTCCATTGCCCAACGAAAATGATTCATCTCGTTGATTCTTCAAGTGAACTGCATGAAAAGCCGCCGGCATTATTGTATATCGCGAATTTTTTTTTATTTTTCCTAAGCTTCCTTATTATTAGAAGACGTGACACCCACGCATTGATATGCTGTTTTACAAAAAAAGGCATATATTAGTGAATTACATTAATTTTTAAAAAAATTAATCAAAATCATATATAAGACAAATATAAGACTTACCTCCCCATCGAAATAGCCACTGTCTTCAACCCCTAATAACACACCCCACCAAGACCGATTAAGCAACAAATACATCTCATCGTTGAGTTTGCTTATGTCAGTGTAACACCCTTGGCTCCGCTCATGTAGATAAAAATCAACTGCGGTCTTAGCCTAAAGGGTATTATCCCAAATTGTTTCCGGTAGTTGTCTCCTCTCCACTTCAGATACCGAAAGGATACTAGCCGGTAACTCATACGAGCCAACTCTCATCCATCATGTCCGGCAACGGTAGGGGTTTCTCAATAATTCGATATATTACCCCATGTGAATCGGGCTCTGGAATGGTGGGAGGGACCTCTTCAACGATGACAGTGGCCTCTTGAACGGTGGAGGGGACTCTTGAGGAATGATAGGGGCCTCTTGAACGATTGGAGGGGACTCTTGAGGGATGACAGGTGAGTCGGGCTTCTTCTTGCGGAGTCTTCGCACTATTGGGGTGAACGAAGACGTAATAGCACGTGCACGCCGTCTGATGCATGAACTCCGTCGTGCAAGGAAAACCTGACGTAAAGCATCCACCTTATCGGGCCGCTAAAAAAAATTAATATATAAATCAGTAAATAAACAGACATGATATTAAATAAAGACAAATATGTTTCAAACTTGCATTGTATTCACCCAAGTCATTATTCTATCATAGTTCACAAAATGCATTAGATAACATTCCAGAAGTAAGTACTTATATAAACATTTAAAAGGACAACATATATAAACATTCCAGAAGAATAATAGTTTACTTTCGCAACACGAAACTTACTTTCGCAACGCGAAAAATGGCTATCGCAATGCGAAATGAAAATCGCAACGACAAAATCGCAATGCGAAATGAAAATCGCAACGACAAAATAGCAAAGCGAAATACAAATCGCATTGCGATTTTCATTTCGCGTTGCGATTTTGTCGTTGCGATTTTCATTTCGCATTACGATTTTGTCGTTGCGATTTTCATTTCGCATTACGATTTTGTCGTTGCGATTTTCATTTCGCATTGCGATAGCCATTTCCGCATTGCGATAGTCATTTTCGTGTTGCGAAAGTAAACTATTCTTCTTCTGTAAATTGAAACTTGAATGGATTGCATTACTTCAACCAAAAGACAAAAACAAAACCAAAAACAAATACTAACAAAAACAGTTTAGCAGTATTGGCAGCAGCCGAATGAATTTATTAAGCAATCTAAGTGAAATGGTTAATCTAAGTGAAATTACGAGTAAATTTATCATCAAGTTAAATATGAAAAATCTTAAACTTACCTCGTTGCGTAGAGTATGAACCTCATTCTGCAACAATGCTACCATCTCACGTAGAGCGGCTACCTCACCGCGTAAAGTAGACACCTCAACACGCCACGCACCATCGTCTTTTCGTAAAGTATCGACCTCCTCACGCAAGGCATTGGCCTCAACACGTAACTCCCCTAACTCATCCCGTGGAGGTGGAGGTGGAGAACAGGGAGATAAACGTCGTGGCAACTTTGTTGGTAGCCTATCTTGCGGTGATGGTGGAGAAGAGGCTCGATGATGTGACAGAATAGGTGATGGCTGTCGTTGTGGAGGTGTATAGTCGGGTCGATCAGGTGATGGCTCTGGGTGAGGTGATAGCTCTGGGTGAGGTGATGGCTCCCGAAGTGGAGGCTGCTCATCATCCATGCCATCAAAAAAACGCTTACTAGCTTGCCACCAATCAGTGGCAAGCTCAGCTTCCGTGGGTGTCAGCCTCTGTAATGGAGTGTTGGCCTCCTAACAATATAAAAGCTCAAACAAAGTTAAACGTGTACTAGTAATAACTTGTTTATAAACATATGGTAGTATTTATGTTAACTTACATTATTTATTGTCGTATACCGTAGTAAATCTTCCCAATGCAAGGTCTATTTCCTCTTCCAGGAAATAGCACTAGGAATATCATTTGAAGTTTTTATTGCATATGTCTTAATGGCGGGAAAGGCCTCAAATATCCAAATCTACAAACAATATAATAACAAACATTAGTAATTGTTAAATAATTAATTATAATTTTGGAAACATTATATAAAAATTCTTACCTTAAAGGCCCAAATAAAGCCTGTCAAAGTGTATTTGGAACCATCGCCATGCAAACTTTTTCGATCATCCAAGGCAGACGATAACTTATTCCATGTAGCTTTCCATAAATACGAGCCCCACGGAAACAGGTTCCACGCATTTAGGTCTTCTACCATTTTGATTAGATCATTCGGAATAGGTTGTCTGGCCTCTCTCCCTAAAAAGCCGACATGCAAAAGTATTAGAAGGCATACTCGGACAACATCGACGTCATCCATCCGAGTAAAACCATCTTTCTTATTCAATAATCTCGTCAGGTCTTCCACGTGTAGATTCGGCCTCTCCAGCTCAGGAAAAACCCGGGATAACCATGATGGGCGGGTAATGTGTCTAGTGTACCGACCTACATCATCGTGTCCGAAGCGTAGGCCGGTGATTAAGCAAAACTCCTCCCGCCCAAAACACGTATACGCCGGTGGAAAATCAAACCATATCTCTTCATCACGACGTTGTATAGTATTTGGTAGATC